CCCCAAAACCCCAAAACCCCAAAACCCCAAAACCCCAAAACCCCAAAACCCCTAAGGCTAACATAATTGTTGAAAAGAGCAATTATCATAAGCTAAGCAAATTTCATCATCAGGGATTCTTTAATATCTTCATCTTGGATTCTATCAACAAATTCCTTTGCAAGGGACATTTTCTTCTTCTCTAGGCATATTTGGGCAAGGTACTCGAATGGAAGTTTGGGCTTTCTGACTTCTAAATATTTCTCAATTTGTTCAAATAAGTTCATATCTGCAAACACCTTAGCCTCAATTCCAAGATAGCAAATTTCATTCATCTTAATAGACTTAGCTAAGGCCTTGGCTTCGCTCTGTTTGGAACTTTTTAGCAGAAGAACGATTGAATCTTTTGCTGTCCTTCCTGTAAAATTTCTGGTCTTTAATTTACTAAAGAATTAAGCAATATTTTACTCATTAATCTCTCCTTGTTTAGCTATAAGCTTCCTTTGATTCTTAACTATTCCTGATTTAAACTGATCCTTATAAATCTTCTTAAAGGTATCCTCTACACCATTCAGTTCTGCGTCACGTTCCTCTTCTTTGAATTTATTAATAGAATTTTCCCTCTTGATGAGCATCTTGACTTCAGAATAGTTGTAAATGTCTTCCATAAGCCCTCTAAGCTTTCTCATGAGCTCTATATTTTCCTCCTGCTTGGCATAGGAAATGAACTTGCGGTGTGAGATCTTCATTCTTTCAAGGAAATCTCTCATGAATTCATCATCGTTTCCATGCTTTTCAAGGATCTTGCTGATCACTTTATTAACAATATCCATATCTCCATTGGAGATACTAATCTCTAGTGCAACCTCAAACTGGTTCAGCTCAAGGAGATAGGGAATTTTCTTGATCACAGACTTTTCGTAGTTGACCAGCTGGATAGCAGTATCCTTATGTCCAACCTCCTGAGCAACCTTGGCAATCTTGGTGTAATCAATAGTTGATACAGCTCCTGTGAGAGCATTGTATTTCTCATGACCTCCTTTCATCTTGATTTCTTCTTCCAATTCCTGTAATTTCTCAACAATGAGATCTTGAATCATGATCGCATCTTTGGTAGAATTTCTGAGCAAGCAGCAAGCCCATTCCTCATAGCACATATTGACGTACCTCTGCTTTAGATTCAGATTTTTGACTGTTCTCAGGACCAAGAAATAGTCTCTGTATTTCAGCTGAATAGGAAGCAGATTTCTTGGATTAATGTTCTTCAACTGTTTATATGTGATAGCTCTTCTACATTTCTCAGAAAACCTAAGCTTGTTGATCAGAGATAGATATTTTATAGTCTGCACGTACATATCTGAGCTGTATTCTTCTGAAGAGATCTTCTTCTTACCGAAACTGGCTACTTCACATAACAACTTCTGGAATGGTATATTGTATTGATAGGTCGCAGCTTCCATTACAGTGGTAATTGCTTGTTTCAGATTACCACCAATTTCTCTGAAGATTTTCTCTGTGTTTTCACTTTTTAACTCGTACTCTTTAAACGCATCGATCAGCTGGTTTGCAGGATGGTCTGAAAGCAGTGATAGTGAGTCTATAACACTCTGTTGGACTCTCTCAAACCAATAAATCTGGTTTGTGGTGATGAGTCTGACTCCATCAATTTCACAGCAATATCCGATCCCATTAATATCATCTTCATTCCCAAGTTCCAGGTTCTCCATTGTATTTGGACCGATCATAGTGATAGAAGATTCATATAAAAGCATTGGGATATTGTTGGCACACCAGATAAGATCATTAGGCCTTGGCATGCCTGTTTCCATTACGTTTAAGAACTTCAGGAGATCACTTTTGAAAATATAAATTTTGCATAATCTCTCACTGAAGAAAGCAAGCAAAGTATCGTTTGCACTAAGAGCAATATTAGTAATGTGCCCAATTCTACCAAGATCCTCTCCTCAGAACTTCATCATATCTGGAGAGTAGGTTGATTTCTGAGTATGATCAAGGATGACTAGACCTTCTGCTGGATGAGAAAGCAAGATTTCCATCTTATTTGACCTAGACTTTGTTTTTGGAATGACAACATAATCATCAATAGAAGTATTTCTTGGAAGATCATGACTTCCAGAGTCCCCTTTAAAATTTCCTTCTGGTATATCAACACAGAATCCTGGCTCAAGATCAGGAACACCAAACTCAGTGAACTCGCAGTGGTAAATATCAGGAATGTAGTAAAATCAATTATTTCCAGTCTTGAGAACTACAGTGTTTTCCTTTGCTTTACCATTTTCGATCATGTTTCTGCCTGAAAACTGGGTCTTAAAATCTTGCCTCTGGATAATATTTCCACTCTTAGGATCAAGCAGAAGGAAGACTCCATTCATAGATACGAGTAGAATATCTTCTTCCTTAGTAAATGCAAAGAGAGCCCAATGTTTGATATCTTTATCCTGTCCACGTAGAGTCTCCTTCAGATTGATAGTGGCGATGTTGTCACCGTAAGCAGAAATTACAATGATTTTCTCTCGATAATCTCCGGCTCCAGTAGGAATCATCTTGTTATTAATCATCAGGGCGAAGGGACCTCCATTCTGGGCTGTAGCAACCATGAAGCAGTTCATCTTTAATTTCAAGAAACTAGAGAGTCCCTTCGGCTGATAAGAGTAATCAGCCAGTTTTGTCTTGGAATACTTAACATTTTCAAAGTTAATCCAATCGTATGATACCTCATCGATCTGAGCAAATAGTTTCTTTTTGTCAGAAGACAACATCTTTTCTTTACTAAGTTGGATAAATAATTTATATTTAGATTTGTGGGGTTTTGGGGTTTTGGGGTTTTGGGGTTTTGGGG